TGACCCCACACAGCCCAGCTCCTGACCAGCAAGATGTCTGCAGCTTAGGATGGAACATCATAGGTGGAGTCCCAGTGTAGATTTGACTACAACCTATCGCTGCCTCATCTGAGGATCTGCTTTACCTCTAGGCTGGCCGAGGCTGAAGGTCTGATGTGACCAAGTTTATTTGGCAGCCACAAGCTAACTGCAAACCATGACAGGGATCCATGGATGAGGGTTGGCATCCACGGATGAGGGACCCATGGATGAGCGCTGGGATCAGGCCACTGGGCCAGTCCACAGTGCCGAGGCTCTGTCAAGCCAGAGCAGCAAGCGCTGGGATGGCTCCTGGATCCAGAGATGCTGTGGCTGAGACAGACCAACACCTGCAGCCCAGTCTGATGGGGCTGAGCTTAAATGGAACTCCAGGCCCATCCAGGGCAAATGGAGGCCCCAAGTGAAGCTTGTGGAGGTTCATTAGGGCTTATTAGTGCCCTTGGGGCTCTGACACTGTGGGAAATACATGATTCAAATGAAATCTCACGACAAATAATAGCTTAAGCCATGCCATTTCATGGTTTTTAGATTCTTATACGTTCGTTTCACATAATCAAGCACCATTCAATCTGGGAACTTTATAGCTTGATGGAATATTCAGTGTCAGTAGGTCAGGCACAACAGTTACTCCATTGGGTTCACCAGCTTCTGCAGCACCAGCCTTTCCACTGTCCTGTACTAAGCACAAATTTCTATCTTTTTTTTCTCTTTTTAAAACTGTCAACATGTTGCACAAGGAAAAGGTGTATATGAATGTTTGTTTATGCTTCGAGATGTGCACTTAAATCTCTTAGCAAACCAGCAGAGTTTTAGACATTAGTTTGAGTTTTCTCTTTGCTGTGGAAACCCTTTAACTGAGTCAGACCTGATTATCATTTCCTTTACAAGTCACTCATCTTATTTCACATAAGAAAAGGCACCAGAGTAACCTTTAGCCAAGTCTCTAGCCTACATAAACAGCACAGATGTGAGAATGTTGCAGAGGAAACAGAAGAGATACCAATTACACTGCTCTGGGAACCTTCTGTTCCAGCAATTATGTAGGGATGCTGCAGAGACTTACTAATGGCACCACATAAATTTTATCTTACATTTATCTGCCAAGATGCTTATCTTCAGTGCAACAGGAGAGAAGTTTTGTATTTCATTGTGTTACAATTATCTTTAATTACATCACCATCATTTTTAACACCGTGAAATGGAATCAAAATTTATGACCACACACATGTAGGAGACATGAACCACGTCATACCTCCACTGCATTATCTCCTTCAAGGAAAGAAAAATCAGATTAAACCCCTCAGTGTCAGCTAGCATTAGAAATTAATTAAAATATAAAACATGGACCACAAAGACAGTACAGAAAACCTTAAGTTTAGAGATCAAGGAACGTCTTTACATTATCCATCTGTTGTTAAAAGGAAAATTTGTTTAGTGCATTGGGATTTACTTTTAAAGGCTCAAACTGTCACTGAAGTTTGATCCATTTTGATCTTGGGATCGTTTGAGTATCTCAGCGATCAAGATGCATGTTTACATAGTTGCTTTATAATTGATGAAATCTGAACCACAAGCTTGACATGGTGATATTTACACTCTAATTGTAGGGGTAACCCAGCTGGGGCTGTCTTACATTGTCTGGAGCAGCTTTATGCTACAAGTGGCAAGCAAGTAAAAGCCTGCTGAATTATAAAATCAAAGCAGTGGCTGCAGGACTAAACAGTGCTAATTTTATTCAGACTTCCCCCCTGGGATCAGTATTCTACCCTGACAACATTTACTTTCCTAAGTTTGCCATGTAACGTGGTGTTGTAGCAGGACTTGGGTCAGGTTTGTGTCAAAGCAGGACCTGTGTTGGTTGGGTTTAGTTAATCTACGTGCAGCCTGCCAGTTCAGGTGGGGTTTTGTATCTGAACATATCTAGAAGATACCTAAATTCAGAGTCAGAGGTATTTTCAGACTCATGTTACATAAGACTTTTCCTGTGAGTCACTCCAGAGGAAATGAAAAAGTGCCACCACATTCCTGAAGGGAACGTGCTGATCTTTTGAGTAAGTCCAATGTGGGATGTTATTCTGAGACAAAGCAAAATAATGATATTCACACCATTCAAAATTAAATTAAGGACTCGAGTTACTGTCACAATAATTTCTTCATACTGTTACTACCACTTATTGTTCCAGCTCTGTGCACTTCCCAGCGTTGCTGCCTGCACTGGTGGCAAGATGCAGAGGCTGCTGGGCTCAGCTTCACAGCTCTGGGAGCTAAGTGCTTGGGGCGCAGGTTCTATGGAAACAAGCCAGTTGTTTTTTATCAGAGCTCTTGCTGCCTTTAGGGGCGCTTCTCCCATCACAGGATTGTAACCTCCTCCAGTATTGCCCTCATGCCTGCCTGGGAATGCCTTTGGCATGGAGAGGGACTTCTTGGTGGAATTCCTAAATCTGCGCTAAGTCAGTGAAGGAAGTGCTGGTGCGGTTTAGGATGAGGATTGGTCTGTGGTGATGCAGTGGACCAAGGCACAAAGACACTGGTTCAAGTCTAGTTGATGTTTTACAATTTAGAACTGAGATAAGTGTGAGTGGTTTAGGGAGGTGCAGGGTTTATGATCTCTGGGTACAAATTCTCACTTCTGCCAAGCTGAAAACAAGCATGAAACAAAATACCTCTTCCAGTTCTTGTGGCAGAAACAGACGCCTCCCATCATTCTTCCTCGTGAGCAGTGGCATTTTATATGATGTGAGTTTTATAGGACACTCCTTGTATAGCTGGAGGTGAGTGTGCAGCTTCAGGCACCTTGCAGTTTATAATTCTGTCACATCTCCCATCCACTAATGAATATTTTGCATGAGTACTGGTCCATTTGGTATAGCTGAGAAATGAAAATGTGGCTGAAAGCTGCTGAAATAGTCAGAAAGGTTCCAGACATATATGAGACTTTATTTTTCTTTTGGGGTAGAGGAATACAATGCCTGAACTGGTGAATAAGAGATTAAAAAGATCAATAATTCATATATTATTAGTTCACATAAAACCAGCAAATTACTTTCTTTTTACCTGAAGTACTTCAAAGAATTTTCTGCTTTTGTTCTATTGGAAACCTCAAATTTCTGCAATGGAGAGGGAACAGAAACCTACTATTGTAATGATGTCCCATTTATGGTACTTGAAATTCTAATGGAACTGTTGAAACCAACAACTGAAGCGAAATTATGCAATAGTGTAGATCAAGTCTAGCTTAACATGGAACAAATGGAGTGAATTACATGAAAATTACAACTGAAATAGTAACTCAGTTATATGTGTACAGGCAGTCATGGTTGTCTTAGTCATGATGTACTAGTCCTAAAGATTTTAGTAAAAACCAACTGGGTTATGTCAGTAAGAAGATCAGAGAATTCTGAAATGCAGACCAGTGGTTGTAGCATCATTGCCTGGAGTCTGGACTAACGACTTCCTCACACTTCAAAGTGTTTGCATGGATGTTCAGAATTTCTTGTAAATGTTTAATTTAATGCAGTTTAAGACCTGAGAAAAAGCACCATTTTTCAAGCTTTCTGAAATGAGATCTGTTGAAGAACACAAACTCCTTGACCTACTAAATGCATACATACATATTTGTATCCAGTATTAGTTTTCCTTTCCACTGATATGTAGAACGAATCTCTGTCCATTTGCTTTCAGGGATTTTGTTGACTGCCAAGACCTAGAACTTTTCCATTTTTGAAGTCTTCTTTTACCTAGAAAGATTTGAACTTGTTAAAGCAATGAGGGGAAGAGCCATGAACATGGCCAGAAGGCTTGAGCATCTGTCCTTTAAGGACAGACTGAGAATTGGGGTTGTTCAGTGTCGAGAAGGCTCCATGGAGATCTTGCCGAGGCCTTTCAGTGCTTGAAGGGGACTTATAAGAAAGATGGATGTAAAGATTTTACTGAGGCCTGTAGTGACAGGACAAGAGGCAACAGCATTAAGTTGGATTTAGATTAGATATATGATTTTTTTTTTCCTATAAGGATGCTGAGGCACGGCACAGGTTGCCCAGAGAAGCTGTGGATGCCCTATCCCTCAACCTGAGATCAGGCTGGATGGGACTTTGAGGAACCTGGTTTAGTGGCAGGTGTCCCTGCCCATGGCAGAGGGATGGAGTAAATGAGCTTTGAGGATCCCTTCCAACTCCAGCCATTCTGTGACTTGATGAAAATATGAGCTGTAAAGACAGCTAAAATACATGCTTGTAATTACTGCTGCTTTTTTGGGTTTTCTCTGAAGCGTGTTGCAAACACCATAATTAATTGGATTTCAAATGTTAAAATGCTTCAGTTGAGCAGCACAGGGGGGGTATGTATGGCACAAACAGGTGGCTGCCTGAGGCAGGGGATTGTTTAAATGTTGTGGGCTCTGAGACATCTGCATAAACACAGATTATTCATATCTGGCTGGAAGCAGGAGTCATCCTTTCAGCTGGAACTGCCTGTCATCAGTGCTTCACAAAATTAGGAAGATGTTCAAAGACAAGAAGTGGCACTACAGCAGTGTTATATTAGAGTGACGTGTGTAGCCTGGTCTTTGGAGATATTTGTTCTTATCACAGCACTGTGAAATCTGACCAAACTGGGTGCAGCCGACAACCTCCTCCCTGCAGAGTCACCTTGTAGTCTGTCACGGAACGTGGGCACTGCAGCTCCAGACTGGCACCAATTAGCACTTCTTGTCAGATGTGTGTGGCCCCTGCTTGTGTGACTCAACCAGCAATAGTGTTACTTAAGTGAGCCTGACACTCTTAGAAAAACAGGGCCAAAATCCAATTTTTTTAGGACAGTAGCTTATTGATGCCAACTTCAGAGACTCTTATTTTTGCCTTAGACAGTGTCCTTTCAGAACAACATGTAATTTGAAATTATATAACTCCCTTCACTTTTTTACTCACCACTGGATCTTGGTTTTGATTTGTTTGTTTTTCCAGACTGGAACAAACGGATTGAATACAGGCCTGGCTCTGGCAGCATACCCTTGTTTCCCAGCATCCACCTAGAAACGTGTGATGGACCAGTGTCCTCAATCCACACCACCATTGAGCTGCAGACCAACTACATCGGGAAGGGCTGTGATCGTGAAACCTACTCTGAAAAATCTCTGCAGAAATTATGTGGTATGAATATGGATTTCAGTTGACATAATAATGTTTTTGCAAACAAGGTACCAGCTCCTTGTGACCTGTAAGCATGCAGGGCTTGGATTTAGATCAGCTGGCTCACTTTGGATTGTAGTAATGAAAATAGAGAGAGTGATGATGTTTGACAGCTGCTCCATCCTTCTTTTCCATTTGTTTTCACTCTACTTCATACTTTCTCCCTGCCTTCTTTTAATTTTTTTTCTCTCCTGCTCTGATTCCCCTCTCAATTTTTCCTTCTTCCTCATTCCATCTCTTTCTCCTTCTTTCTTCCCTCTGCTACAAATAGTGGTGTGACAGTGTAGTGAGATTTCCAGTGTAGATTTGCCATCACAGGAAGATCACAGGATTTGAAGGGAATTGAATCTCTCTGTTGTGTTTCAGTCCTCCTGACTCAGTTTTCTGTTCTGCTGCTCAGTGCTGTGCCAGACAACAACCAAACAAAAAGTAAAATAATATTCTGGGCAAAAATGTTTAAGAAACATGAACTTCAGATAAGAGCTGACGTGTTGGATAAATATTTCCTAATTTTTTCCTCCCTTTTTGTGCTTTTCGATAACTTTGTGTAAAATGCAGAAGTCAATTTTGAAAGGCAGATTAAATACTTGAAGATACTGCTGTATTTTTTTCAGACTTTAAGATTCTGTATCTAGCAAAGCAATGGCCATGCAATAATCCCTTCATCTTTTGAGATCAGATGTCTCTCCTGCTGTAATATCCTGTCTTTAGAGTCCTCCTCTGAAGCCCTGATGGTGTAGACATGAATTCTCATCTTCTCTGTCCCTTTGCCTGGTTTCTGTCAGAGCTACAGTAGCAATTGTGCAATTTTTTCCATTTCAATGCATAGATTTTGGTTCTGGGTGCTCTGGTGTAGGGCTTGCTCTGATAACCACCCAGCAATGCTGCAGATATGTTAGGATCAATACACTAACCTTTAGGAAATAATTTTTGTAAATGAAAAATTTCAGCCAGTGTTACTATATTATTAAAAATGGAGAAGCAATTTCCAGGGAAAAATGGTTGGCAGTTGCAATTATCAGTTATCAGTGGAGATGAAGAAAGGGAGGTAAAGGTGAGTGGGAGTAGTAGCATTGTCATCAAATCTGAATGTTTTCAGCTTCAAAATTGCTTAGTTAAGATCACAGAAACAGTCATGACTTTGATTCTATGTCTTTATCCAACTGGCTGGGCTCTAGAAGAGCAAATGAAAATCCATCTGCCCCAATATGCATCTTCATCATGGTAATGATATTAAATCTGAGAGGCAGACCAAGGCTTGATTTCATAAAATACTAAAATTGTAATAAAAATAAATGTTAAATATTTATATAAGAGCTAAATATATATATTATATAAATATTATATAAAAATTATATAGAAATAATGTTTATATAATAGCTAAAGTCAAATACTTTTAACTCCTCTAAGAAGCTGTATTGGCAGCCAAAAGAACTTTGCTTTGTGCTGTTACAGACCTGAACTGCAAATGGCACAGTCACTCAGTGCAGACCACTAGGAACAAGACCTAAACCACTAAATTATTACCTTGAAATCAAACAATGATAGCAGCTATATCCAACAATATTATCATTTCAAGTGTAGGGCTGAAAGGAGATACCTTCAGCTGGTGTAAAAGTCCTTAGTTGAAGAAGGTTGTACAAACTCCAAGGGGCTCAGTTTGCAGAGTGTTGCTTGACTGCCTCACCTGCTGACACTGGAGTAGAAAAGAGAATTACAGGCATCTCTTGGGTCTGCCAGGGCCATTGTGGTGGCTGCAGGCAGCTCTGAGCAGTGGACAGACATCCCTGCTGAACTTCAGCTCTGGCTCAGCACATCCGTGAAGGAAGAGAATGGAAAACACTTGAGAAAACAAGAGTGTAAGAGTGTATGTAAATAGGGGGAAAATTCTCACTGCTGAAAGAATTTTTCTTTTGGTCCAGGTTTTCCATATCTTCATAGAGAGCAGACATGGTAGAAACTTGTAACAGGACTTTGATGAAAAGGCTGTAAGTGACAATGTACTTTACATGAGAATTGCATTTAGCCTGGCCTGCACTTTGCTATTTAGTATTTATTACCATCCTCAGTGTAGAGAAAAGTCTTATGAAAGCAGCTTAAATTATTTCTGGAAATCAGTTTTCTCCCAGAAATTACCTTATTGTAACTAATGGTTGGATGATAAAATCCTTTGAAAAGGATGAAAACCCTAATTTTTTTTTTTATACAATGAAGCATGATGTGATTGCAGAGAGTGCAGAACTGAGCACTCAGACAGCTCTGCATCATGTGCAATGCAAGGCTCTCTCTGTATAAGTAAGATACAGTTTACAAATACTGTGCTTATTTCTTCATTTATCTGTTGGAAATCTGGAGAAGGCAGATGTTAAGGAGGGTGAATTAAAATTAAGTCTTTATATGATGGAAGGTATAAGTCTGCTTTTCAATCACCCAGAGATTTGCACTCCTTTGGACTGTCAAGGTGGGCAGCTTAGATGATTAAATTATGCTTTAGTCATTTTAAAGTCAAGGAATTATTAGTGTTGTGCCTCAAAGCATTTAGAAAGCATTCTTTCACCTTGTTACCTGACAGTAATAAAAAGTACAGACTGTCTAAAAGACACCATTTGGCAAAAACATATCACAAAAAATCACACTAAAATAATCATAGGTTAAGGAGCCTAAAATATAGTGGAAAGATGGCTCTGGTGCTGTATCCTTTCCTTCTAAATGTAGATAAAAGAAAATAATGTGATTGCTAATTCTCACAGGTGGCAGATAGGAAGCTAAGACAGGGAAACACTATCAACCTCAAGGCCCTGCTCCAGCCACGATCCTGCTCTGTCTCCATTATCCTGGGTGGTGTAGCATTGCAAGAGGCCCACAGAAAGTTGTTGATCTGATCACAAAGAACAGTTTGAGCCGGGTGTTATTTGGATCATTTCTTTCCAGCTAAGCTAGCAGTCTGGTCCAGCTCAGCGAGAAGCATCACTGTGTGCTTATCCTGGCACAAAGTTTGGAGCCCAAATGTGCAGGACTGGGAGAGAAGGTGGAGCCAGCTGCATAAATCACTTGTGAAAATAAGCACTTTTATATGCAAGAGGTGCTCAGGGGTGTTAGCCCAAAACTGAGCTTCATGCAGCAGTTCCTGCATTGTTCTGGAAGCATTTTGGGAGCAAAGGGCATCAGGCACTACATTTTGGAAGAGCATTGATCCCATGATAAGGCTGTTCTGGGAACATCTCCAGAGAGATCCTGTTCGTATTGCTCCAGGTCTGTCTCTGTGCATGGCTGAGCAGCCTGGGACTCTGGCTGCATTTATTAGGATAGGAAAAGCATGACTTATTCCAGCCAAATCTCCCAAGTACATAATCCAGTGAATTTTCTCAGGGCAGGATTAAAACATGTAACAGGATGAGATTCCAAATTTAGCCACAAATCTCCATGCAAATATGGGCAGATAAAGTAGAACCTGTTGAGCTTGGTGCTGGTTACACAAATGGAGTGTCCTGTATTATCCAGAATTACAGTTTGTAAAATAAATACACTTTGTCTCCATGCTCAAACTATGAACTATGTAGGTGTTAGGTTTGGTATTCAAAATATCACTTCAAAATAGCCTCATTTTACAGCAGTAAATTTTGGAGAAGAACCCAAGACATTCAGTTACAGAATAAAGTAAATATTTCCAAATCATTGCTATAACTTCTATTTTTTAAAGCCTGTATGAAACAATTCTACACACTTTTGGCTTAAATTTTTTTTGCCCTCCTACAGAGATTTGGGATTTTTTATGTCTTCTTGGATGGTGAAGGAGGGCAGAACACCTTAGCAGGGGATTTTTCATGCCATCACAGTTTGCTCACCATATTGTTACTTGACAAAGCAGCAAGAGGAATACAAAAATGTTTGTGCTTTTTACTCTTGGAATCATACTTCCTGCTACAGGCTGTCTTCCACCAGTAGATAAATGCTCTGGGTAGCTCCTTGCATGGTTTTCATAGTGCCTGGCAGTTGTTGAGCTGTTAGCAAACACAGAGCTGTGAAGAACTGTGCTGTTTTATCAGATCTTGGTACCACGGTGTTTTCCATCTCGGTCTGTCATTAAAGAACACATGGAACTCCAACCATCAAATATGTACCAGAAAGCAGCACTGGAGAGATATGACCTGGTTGGGGTGAATCCCTGCTGTGAATGGGCATTCCTCCCAGAATTACTGGGATATCTACGGCTGGCTGCTGGACACTGTGGGAGCTGTCCGGCATCATCCCCACTGTGCTGTATGTTACAGCACATCATCCCCACAAACCTTCATGGTGTCAGGGAGGGAAGAAAAATGCAAACAATTTGTTTTGACTTAGCAGATCTTGAAATAGCTGAAGAAATGTCATTAATGAATTTCAGAAAATAATGAACATTTCTGAGAAAGCTAACTCTACATTATTTTCTATAGTTTTCTGTACAGTACATTTAATCTAGAAAACTCTTGCTGGGTCATGATGGTGGGTATTTTACAATGTTTCAGTGATTTGGCATTGAGGCTAGTAGGACCATTTGGGTAGTACAATAGTCTAAAGAGTGTGAATCAGAACCCTGGCCTATGTTAATCTTCAGAGCTTTTTCAGTGGTCTCTCATTGTGTTATTCATTATGTGATTTGCAGGAGCTTCCTCAGGTGCCATTGACCTGTTACCATCTCCCAGTATAACAACCAACTGGACAGCTGGGCTCCTCATGGATAGCAATGACATGATTTTTAAATTTGATGGAAAGCAAGGAGCCAAAATCCCAGATGGAATAGTCCCAAAAAATTTAACTGATCAATTCACCATCACTCTGTGGATGAAACATGGACCTAGTCCTGGATTAAGAGCTGAGAAGGAGACTATTCTCTGCAACTCTGATAAGACAGGTGAGTCTGTGTATGGAAAAAATGTTATGCAAAGGGGATGTCAACAGCTGTAGAGTGTTGCCATGTCTCCTCATTTAATTTGGTCTGAGAAAAAACTAATCTCAGATGTAGCCACTCCAAACATTGCTGATTTAAGAGATTATTGAGGGGCCTGATGACTACTGAAATTTGACTAAATTTCAAACACAGCTGGGATAACACAGCTAGAGATTTCACAGGAATTGACTGATAACATAACTAAATTATGTTTAATTTCTTTTCATTATTTAGATTGAAACAGTTGTAATTCTTCACTGAAACAAGTTAGATAAAATATGCATTTGGATTTCATTTATTAGCTAGGACAGGATGATTCCGTGAACAAAGCTGATACAGCATAATTGAAGAAGAGTCATACCAATCCATGAGAAAGCTCCGTTCTTTGGGGTTTCTCTGATATGGCTGGGTGCTGACAGGGTGTGAGGCTCCCAGACACCAAGGGCTGTGCATGGCTGAGCCAGGTGTGTCCCCCCGCAGAGATGAACCGGCACCACTACGCGCTCTACGTGCACAACTGCCGCCTCGTGTTCCTGCTGCGCAAGGACTTCGACCAGGCCGACACCTTCCGCCCCGCTGAATTCCACTGGAAGCTCGACCAGGTACCTCTCTCGTGATTCCCAGGGTCATCCAGGACCCTTCCTCCTTCTCAGGCCTTTAGGCAGCACAGGGAACCACCCAGATCCCAGACCCCAGACCCCAGACCCCAGGTCTGTCCTCCTCAGGCCTTTAGGCAGCACAAGGAGCCACCCAGATCCCAGAGCAGCTGTCCGGAGTCTGTTCAGAGTCTGTCCACAGTGTGTCCGAAATCTCTTGCAATTACACTGCAACTTGCAGCTGTTAAAACTCTAATTAGGATCCACATAAAAAGAGACAAATAAGTTAACTTTGTCAAGTAATTTTATGCACTAGTTTTTGTTGTTTATTTTAATCGAGCCACTTTAAATGGTAAGTAGAGGTTTATATCCTTTGGCAGTGGAGAGAGATATGACATTGCATTTAGTTCCCTAAATGTTTTCCATTTATCATTTTTTTAAAATTGCTGTATCACCACAATGGGAGTGATGGAAACCTTTTTGTTAAAGAGTATGCTGATACACAGAAAGGTACTTCTGTTATAGTGTAAATCCAATCTGCAGACCTTTTCTTTTATCTCCTGTGCTGTATGTAATTTTGCCTTATTATTAAGCGTATATTGCAAGAAAATTATTATTAAAGAGATAAGAGTTGCCTTGTTTATTCTAGGCAGGATAAGCATCATTTGGATGAAAGAAGACAGACTTCAGCAAAGTACTATTTTTTTCAAAGCAAGTTTCTTCTTTGAGCCCAATGTATGCTATGGAAAATGTAGCTCTAGGAATGTTTACTTTTCTAATTCACCTTCTAAATGTATATAAAAATGAGATCTCCATCGTGTTTATCAGATGAGTGTGGTAAGAAAGCCTGTGGTGGTCATGGCACTCACTTTGCATTTACACTAACCTGTCTGGAATCAGTTTGTGCTGTACTCAATATGAAATCTTAGTGTCTCAAAATAAATTGAAATTAAATCATATTGAAGATTGCAAGTCAGGAATAACTGATATAATCTCAGACAAGGCTGTTGTGAGTGCTGAAGATGGACTTGTATTTCTAAACTTGGTACTAAGCATCTAATTAATGATAATGCAAAAGTTTTGGGAAGTATTTTGATTTTGAAAATTGAGTGCAGTTAACTTCTATATTCTTAAAATGAGAGAGAACCAGTGTCCTCTCAATAAATGAAATTTGTGTGTGACTCTTGTAAGGTCGTGAACCTTCCTAACTACTACTGAAAACTCCTACATGATGTAAACTAGAGACAGAAAATATTTTTTAGGTCACTTGATTAATTTCCTTTCATTTGGCTGCTGTCAATTGATTTCCACAGTATAGTTTCAGCTGTTGTTTATAGATGAAAAAGAAAGTAAGATTAAAGTATAAATAAAGTTTGTTATAGGTTGTGTGCCCAGACTTCCATGAAGATAGATTTATATTGTCAAGGTGATAGTGTTGTAAGTTTTGTCATGAAGGGACCTCATAAAAATTGCTGCTTTATCTCTTCTTCATACTCCATCTGGCCTATATGGTAGAGTAAATTAAAAGAAACTGAAAATAAAACATATGTGAATAATGGGCCAGGAAGGAACTTGCATGGTTTTGAAGACAAGGCAGTGGGAAATTGTCACTATAATGTAGTAAAATGATGCCTTCTTCTAACTGTATACCCAGAGTGGTCTATCTTAGAAAGCACAGGATATTTTAAAACCACATCATAAAACAAGTTAGGGTCCTGCTCAATATGAAAACAATCTGGACTAGACTTCCAGGAGTAGATTAATTTGATTATTTGCATATTCAGACACTGACATACCTCTGGAAATCTCACCTTGAGAACAGTTCATTCTGTAGTGGCAAACCCTTCAATTCCCTGCTGTTGTTGTTGTTTTGTTAAGAAAATCCTGGTAATGGAACTGTGCCCAGCTGCTCTCCCTGTTCCCTCACCTGCCCTGTGAGACAGGGCTCTGCAGATAGGACAGGGCAGAAATGACTCTGCAAGACCCTCCAGGACTTGATCCCAACCACAGCCAGAGCAGAGGAAAATGTGGCAGAGCACTTTATCGCTGAGCTCACTTTATGAGTGCAACAATCCAGGGACTGTTTTTGCTGAGAGGTATCCAGTGACCTTGGAAGAGGGTGAAGCTTGAACTGGTGAAATCATTTATCACTCTCACTGCAGAACAGTAAAATTTATGATACCAGCTGCTCTGGGCTCTACTCCATGAGACTCCTCATTCTTTCAGGGCACTGACTAGGTTTAATTTAATTGTCTAGATCTCATTTCTGTGGTGGGTGGGTTTGGCATACATCTTAGTTGCAGGCTCCATCCTTGTCTGGATACAGGGATCCATGGAACATTTTACACAGCTGCACCTGAGCAGTGCATCTGGAGCCTCTCGACACCATGACAGCCTTGCACAAGAAGTGTCTGGAAGCTCCAAATGACAGTGTCTGCCAGGCTAGCTCTGGGAAGACTGTGTCTTTAAGTCAGTTCATAAACCTAAGGATTTTTTTCCAGTATGGCTTTCAGTTTAATTGGCCCTATTTGTTCCATAAATGGCCTTTGCTAGGTGAATTTTTCACTTACTGCACTGATCCATGACCTGAGAGTGCCACAGCCCTGGGCAGACGTGCCTTTACCAGTGACCTGCTGACACAGGACCTCTGCAAAAGGTGCTGATAATCAGAGGTATCAGATTTTTTACTGAGGGTGTCCTTGCTATTTATAAGAAACATGGGGGAAAAAAAATAAATGTAGATAGTTTGGAATTTTCCCCACTTTCATCCTTTTGCAAATTAAGTATTTTAGTTGTGAGAAAATCCATTAGCAGTAATCTGGAAGAAAAGGTATGGAAAGAGCAATGTTAAAGAAAATCAGTGTCAGGTCTGTAACATTGGTAATAAAAACTGCAATAGATGCCCAGGTAGAGGAGGTTCTTTCATTTTATTTCCATTTCCTTGTAAGCCCAGGTGTTTCCTTTGTTTTAGGATAAGGACCTTTTTTCTGAGTTTCCCATTCAAAAGTTTAAATTGAATATCATGATGTGTTTGTCAACATTTATGTAATTTCTTTTCTCATACTTTAAGTATTGGACACTTTTTAAACCCAAAAACTTATTACAAAAGGGGCAGAAATTACTCTTAAAAAAAAAAAAAAATTGTTACCAAAGGCAGTAAAAGGCATCTAAATTATTATCTAATTATCTCAAATGGATAGGAATATAGGTTTTATTTTAAGTGAATTATTTAGGCAGCCAAATATTCATTTGGACCATCTAAGAATAACATATAAAATATTAAAACTGTTTCTTTGACTTTCATAAAAATCTGTGGACCAAACCAGAATTGTAGTTTGAATGATCAACCAAGTCACTCAAGCCTTTGGTGACAGTGGACTAAACAGGATGGTGTATTTCACACTGTTCAGAACAGGTATTACACTTTTCATACAAATATGAGGACAGCCAAAATGTATTTTTTCTTCTCCTAAATCAATAGGATAACAACACTTTTTTTAGTGGGAGAAGGTATCTGAAACAGAGATGAACAATTTTTTCATGTACTTTATTCACAGTGCAACACTATTTTCAGAATGTTACCATTCTGCAAACAGTCTTCACCCTACAGGCAAAATTTATGTTGATCCCATTAAAAACAGGGAATCTATTGCATGATGTGGAGTCATTCTAAGTCAGTCTGTCTAAAACCAGATAAATGTGCAGAAACTGAGATAAATTGTTTGAATAATCCAGAATTAACCTGCGGTGCTTTTCATTGTGAAAAACCCCCAAAACAATTCCTTTTCTAACAGGAACTACAGGAGACAGTTTAGCTAAGTCTAAATGTGGTGCAGTTTGTCTGTGTGGGCATGGAGCTGCTGAAGGATCAAGGCAAAGCCTTGGTTTGCACTTCACCACTTCAGTGGCCACACACACACCTGGGGCTTCCCCTGGAAGAAGCAACCGTGACAGTCAAGCGCTTCACTCCCAGCTCCTTTTTTAAAATCAGCACCTGCTCAAGGACATGGTAGAGCAGGAACTGACTTTTGAAGGAATTTATGTTACATGATAAGAGGGTAAAGTAAAATTGATTTGTTATTTGGACTCTTTTTTTTTTTTTAATATAGTTAAATTGGATATTTCCATCAAATAACAGGATTTATGCCTGGAAGTTGTTCTTTTATGCTGGATTGTTAAACATTGTTTAGAATTGTTGTTGATGTGCATTCAGTTTTAAGACCACCCTTCATATAATGAAAGCTGTGTGTGGCCTCCCTCTTGAGAGACTGGAGAGAGAGAAAACGAGTGAATACTTATGGAAGGTACGCAATAATCTCAGTCCAGGAGGGGTAAGGAGGATGCTGCAAGTTTCCATCATTTCTGTGCATGAACTCTATCCTCTAGGTAAAAGCCATCAGGCTTCGCAGTCCCATCCTTTCCAACATGATGCTCTATTTGAAGTAATCTTTTTTTTTTCTTTTTTTTTTTTTTTTTTATGGTGGAGTTTAGTTGTTTATTACTTGAAGCTCAGAAGAGTTTCTTATGCTCATAAACACTTACTTTAGAATCTGGTATGAAGGCCTGCACTGCTTTATGCATACAGTTTTGAAAAAACTGCAAAAACAAATCAGTGAGGTGTTTGCCTACAGAGCCAGTAAGAGAGAAATGATAAATGAATGACTAATTCTGCAACAGAGATGAAATAATTCCAGGACTTAAAAAGTCTTTGTGGCATTCCTGGCACCTTAAGTGCCCTCCATTACAGGCTTGTCTATTCTGAGACGCTTTGTTGCTACTTTCCATCTTTGAATGCTATTTTGACAAATATTTATTCAGTGTCTTGCTTCAAAACAGTTTTTGGTAGCACAAGGATAAGTCACCAGTGATGATAAATGGTGAAAATACTCTTTGAGATCCCAACTGAAAGAAGCTTGTTTAATATAAGTTTTTAATGCAACTGCTCTATCACTGATAACAACAAAATCTTGACAAACCACTCACAGTTGCTGTCCAGAACTTGCTTT